ATAGGGTAGATTTTATTTTTAAATGAGGGTGCTTTGACATAAATTATAATTTTAAGCATATGTTATTATCCAAGTATCTTTATTTTGTCCCTTCTGTTTTTTGAAGAGGCATTCCCTTTAAAGGGAGATATTGTTTTGTAGACTGCATTCAGCCAACAGGAACACAAAGGAAAACCTGAATGCGCACACTGCAATGTCACTCAGTCACAAACTGCATGCTTTTTTTTTTTTTTCTGGCCAGGCTGCACGGATTTCGGGAATCCTAGTTCCCCGATTAGGGATCAAACCTGGAGCCATGGCAGTGAAAGTGCCAAGTCCTAACTACTGGACTGCCAGGGAATTCCCAATAAACTGCACTTCTCTTCAACTCTATGTAGCTCAAAGCTTCAGAGATAATTTTGTAGGCTTCAGTATGTGCAATCAAGGAACAATTAAAAAAGAGTTAAGCCAAGACCATGACAGGGGAAATGGATGATATCTGTCAGGGTGCCAAGTAGGAAGTAGATTATGTGGTATTCTGCCTGTTTCCCACACAAAATAATTCTTGCCTGCATGAGTACATCTCAGTGTTTCTGTTGAAACCCCAGCAAGTCCAACTATTTTTTCCATATATTTCTTACTCAGTTTCCTGAAATAGATACTGCTATGGTCTCAGTGTTTGTTTTCCCCTCAATTCTTATGTTCAAAACCTAATGCCTAATATCATGATATTAGGACATAGGATACTTGGTAGGTGGTTAGGTCAGAAGGGCTCTACCCTCATGAAAAGAACTGTGCCCTTATAAAAGAGGGCCCAGAAAGTTCACTGCTTTTACAATGTGAGGACATGGCAAGAAAAAGGAGGCTTTCTATGAAACAGGAAGTGGGCTCTCACCATACACTGAATCCATGGGAAACTTGAGTTTGGACTGCCAGCCTCCAGAGCTGTGAGAAATAAACGCCTGTTGATTATAAGCCACCCAGTATATGATGTTTTCTTACAGCAGTTCGAATGGACTAAAACAGATAAAATTAATTTTAAAATATGAGACTTATCTGGGACTTCCCTGGAAGTCGAGTGCTTAAGATTCAGCACTCCCAATGCGAGGGGTATAGGCTCGATCCCTGGTTGGGAAACTAAGATCCTGCTTGCTGCATGGCACAGCCAAATAAATAAATAAATAATAAAATAAAACAAGACAGACTTCCCTGGTGGTCCCGTGGGTACTCCATGCTCCCAATGCAGCGTGCCTGGGTTTGAACCCTGGTCGGGGAACTAGATCCCCCATGCATGCCACAACTAAGAGTTCCCATGCCACAACTAAGAGTCCACAAGCTGAAACTAACAGCCCACATGCCACAACTAAAAAAGATCCCGCATGCCACAACTAAACATGCCACAACGAGGATCCCATGCACTGCAACTAAGACAGGGCACAGCTTAAATAAACAAACAAACAAACAAATAAATAAATAAATAAATAAATTTTTTTTTATAATAAAATAAAATAAGAGACTTATCTGAAAAGAAGAGCCACTTACTAAATGTTTTTTCCTACTAGGAGAGTGGCTACCACGATCACAGTCGTAGCATGTGTGCAACAGGTGCACCTTATCCCTGAGATAAACATTTCATTATTGTTTGAGCATGATGTTAGTGGTCCAAATAATTATCCTGAAAAATTGCTAAATAGAGTTGAGGGATCAAGCTCTTGCCTCCTTGATCTTTACAAACTGTATTTTGAGGTAACTGAACGGAAGATTATGGAAAAACTCTTCTTTACAGAGGATTTCTAGCTAATAAATGCAGAAATAGCAGTAGAAGTAGGTGAAATGTCTCAACAGGTTATAAAATAATCAATGACCCAATTATCATCAGTGCATGATGATACAACAGATAAAAGATGCATGGAACCTTGGTACCTGGAGAGAAACGCTAATAACATTGGAAACCAAACACAAAAGAGAGACACCCAGACATCAGAACAGACTTATGTGATACAGTCACAATTTCTTAGCATTGTGTGTGGAGTATTATGGCCAAAGGATGAATCTGAATTTCAAACTTGTCTAGATGGCAAGACTATTCACTGAAATTGGAAATGAATTTCTGTTATTCATGATGAGTTCATGGTGTGTTTGAGACATTCAAGTGGACACATTGGATTGAGGAGGTGGATGGGCATTCGGAACAGAATTAGGATCTGAGTTAGGGCTGGACACAGACACTTACCAGCTGGCTGAGCAGTATGAAGGATGTTTTGAAAACAAGAAATATGAAAATATTTTTTTCTTAAGAATTTACTGTATATCTACACTAACTTTAGAGCAATGGGAAAGCGTAGAGAATGTAGATATATACAAACCCTAATAATGTCAATTTATTTCCAGTAAAGTTGCCAAAGGCATGTAAGGGGGAAAGGATAATATATTGAACAAATTTCCCGGAAAAATTATATGGTGGGGCTTATGTTAAAAATAAATTTAGGGGGCTTCCCTGGTGGCGCAGTGGTTGAGAGTCCGCCTGCCGATGCAGGGGACACGGGTTCCTGCCCCGGTCCGGGAGGATCCCACATGCCGCGGAGCGGCTGGGCCCATGAGCCATGGCCGCTGAGCCTGCGTGTCCAGAGCCTGTGCTCTGCAACGGGAGAGGCCACAACAGTGAGAGGCCCGCATACAGAAAAAAAAAAAAAATTAAAAAAATAATTTAAAAATTAAATAAATTTAGGGACTTCCCTGGTGGTACAGTGGTTAAGAATCTGCCTGCCAATACAGGGAACACGGGTTCGATCCCTGGTCCGGGAACATCCTACATGCTGCAGCGCAACTAAGCCCATGAGCCACAACTACAGACCCCGTGTGCCTAGAGCCCACGAGCCACAACTACTGAAGCCTGTGAGCCACAACTACTGAGCCCACATGCTGCGACTACTAAAGTCCATGTGCCCAGAGTCCATGCTCTGCAACAAGAGAAGCCACCGCAACGAGAAGCCGGTGCACCGCGACAGAGTAGCCCCCGCTCCCTGCAACTAGAGAAAGCCTGCGCGCAGCAACGAAGACCCAGCGCAGCCAAATATAATAAATCAATAACACAAATAAATTAAAAAAAAAAGGAATGTTGCCTTCAGTAGCTCCCCGGTGGTCCAGTGGTTAGGACTCGGCCATGGGCCTGGGTTCAATCCCTATGCGGGGAACTAAGATCATGCAAGCCGGGCAGTGGGGCGAAAAAAAAAAGAATATTGCCTTCTCAGGTTTTAAATCTTCCTCTTTTTAATTTGTAGTACTTAAAAAAAAAGCAGTACTTATTGAATTTATTAGTTATATATTAACTCTTTAAAAATTATAGGTAGCTCAATATCTTCTTAAAGGGTTTTTGTTCTTGTTTCAATTTTAATTTGTTTTTAATAAAAGAAACCTGTTATTATCATATAGTTTGTGCATATGCTGTGAAAATTTTTATATTTGCTTTGAGAACTCCTGCAAGGCATGCCAAATTAATAGTGTTGTAGAATGTGAAATAAAATGGAATCACTGATGTCAAGGGGTTTTAACGTGGAGCTGGGAGCCTATTAATAAGTGGAAATCCTGCACCTCCCCACCTGGTGAAACCATGAACTTTTGATCTGAGCCAACCTGCAAATATTCCAAGGACTCTGCAATAACACTTGCAACTTGTCACACTAATGGACTATTACTTCCCTCTAGTGATAGTCTTAGTACACAATCCTGTTCAACAAAGACTAGCTTCTGCCTCCAATTCCAATTAAAATTCTGTAATACAAAACTCTCTTTGCATTTAAAATCCCCTGAATTTTACTCCCTAGCAGAATACCTTTTGGGTTGCTACTTGAATGCGTGTCCCGAATTGCAATTCTGTGATCCCAAGTAAATGTGTTGTGCTTGATTACTGCCTCTCAGGTTTACTGAGGTGGACAGTATCAACGATAGACTAGTGTTATCTAACTTTATGTAGTTATTATTTTAGCCAATAATGAAGCACACCGAGATATTTTGTTGTATATAATTCCCTTTTTCATTCCAAAATCTAATTGAATTGATTTTTCTTACTTGAAAACTCTTCCAAGATTTTCATAAAGAAACAAAAGCAACAAATAAGGACTGTGGCTTGTCTCAGTCTTTTCACAACTGGAATGCATTTTTTTCTAATCCTATATCAAGTTTTACGCTGAGAAATACGAGCTAAAGCAGAATTTTATAAATGTTATGGATACAGGCTTTGCTGGGTCTAATTTTATGTGTTTTATTTAATTTTTTTTTTTTTTCTTTTCGGTACGCGGGCCTCTCACTGTTGTGGCCTCTCCCGTTGCGGAGCACAGGCTCCGGACGCGCAGGCTCAGCGGCCATAGCTCACGGGCCCAGCCGCCCTGCGGCATGTGGGATCTTCACGGACCGGGGCACGAACCCGTGTCCCCTGCATTGGCAGGCGGACTCTCAACCACTGCGCCACCAGAGAAGCCCTAATTTTTTTTTTAAATTTGAAATATAGTCGATTTACAAGGTTCCCTTAGTTTCAGGTGCTGTAAATACATTTTTTTTCTGGCCGCGCCATGCACCTCGGGGGATTTTATTTCCCTGACTAGGGATCGAACCCGCCCCCCCTGCAGTGGAAGCCCGGAGTCTTAACCACTGTACCGCCAGGGAAATCTCTTGACGCGTTTTTAATTTGTCCTTCCCGCACCTGCTTGGTCCTTTAATGCCCAAACAGTTTGAGGGTGGGTCTAGTCCTCACCGCACTCGGTGGCGTGAGGGGAACTACATTACCTAGAAGACTGTGCGCGGATCGGCTTGTTCTCCGCACCAATGAAGGCCCCAAACAGAGGTTCTTCCGGGATTGTGAAATAGGAGGGGACGGAACTTCCGGTATCTTTCTGTTGGCGGCGGTTTGGGGTCTTTGCTGCGTTTGCAGGACCTAGAGCTCTAGATCGCTAGGTGCAGCCCAGGTAACGGAAACTGGGAAAAGCTCGAGAGGACGCCGTCCACACTTCGCAGGAGTGAGCGGGATGCGGAACCTGCTTCCGGAATATTCGGGCCACGTTACCACCATTATCCCGCCGCGCTCAACGGGTCCTACGGCAACCAGCGCGCTACAAGACCCGACCCAGGTGACTGTTGGGGCCCCCCAGATCCTGACCCGAATCCTCAAGCCTCCAGTGAGGGTCACCTGTTCAGGCCTCTGTCTCCAGAACTTTAGGTGTGCGTCTGTGGTGGCCCTATTTCTGACAGGCCATGTGGAGAGTGTTAAAGGCTGGGGGCTTGGCACGTGCAAATCCTTGGAGAGTCACAAGAGCCGGGAACATTCCGGAAACCTGGGGTTGGAGTCCCTTCTGCAGAGACGTGGCATTATGGAGGAGTCATATGAGGCCTTCTGGGCCAACAGTCGGCATTCTGGAAGTCATACAGGGTTGTGAATAAATCAGGAAGACACACTGAGTTGGTTTTAAAATATTTCAGAGGCTGCTCAGGGGAGAACAGACTGGGAAGGGGGAGCTGAGGGTGGAGGCAGGGAGACCTGGGAGAACCTAGTGCATTCCACTCCAGAGAGTAAGTTGGTTTCTGGACCAGAGTGGTGCCTATGGAACTTATTGACCTAAAACAAATAGCCTCCCGGCTATTTCTTCTGCAAAGATGAGTTTTTCTCGGGATCATCAGGGAATTGCAATTGAGATGTGCGGCCATGATGAACTAACACTTTTATAGAGATTAAAGAGGGAAGTTAGAAGGGCTATAGTCACCAAAGAGTCCATGGCTTTTCATTGCCTGAGTCCTTTCCAGGAGAGAAGAGAGTCGTCTTCTTCCTTTTGGATACTGTTATTGTCTCAGGTCAGTGAGGGCTCCCCCTCTAACTGAGGTTTCTGTTTATTTAATTTTTTACAAAGGAATACAAATAATAAGATTCATAATTCATAATAAATCTGCAAGATAATTGGCAATGAATGTTGTTCTAAGCAAAAGAACAGAGTAAAGGACAATAAAGTTTTTCTTTTGGCTGAGCATCTGCAAGACATGTCAGGGAGAGATTAAAATTGGATTTTGGAGGGAGTTCCCTGGTGGTCCAGTGGTTAGCACTTGGTGCTTTCACTGCTGTGGCCCTGGGTTCAACCCCTGGTGGGGGAACTAAGTAAGATCCTGCAAGTCGTGTGGGGCAGCCAAAAAAAAAAAAAAAAAGGAAGGAGTTAACAGTCGGGGCCAATTGGTGACACAGGGGATGCTGGAGTCCCTAATCTGGAAATGGGGGAGGAGGTCGCTGGCTCAGCAATGTCCATGTGGTGACAGCCTAAGTCCTGGACTCTGGCCATGTCTGGACTCAAATTTAGGAGGGAAAGTCTTGTCACTTTTCTGTGCAAGGGGACCTCAGATGAAAGTAGAGAGACCTGGGGCTGGAGGGTAGGGCAAACTGGGTGGGACTTTCTGAGGCTGCCTGAAGATGGGAGGGTCCTGTGGTTCCAGGGATTTCTGGGGAAGCAAGGGTATAAGGAGTAAGGAGCCTTGCCTGAGATGGAGATAGAGAAGGAGTTGTGAGGTTGTATAGATTCACTGTTCTGAACACTCAGCCGACTGCCCACTCCTTGTGGAGTCAGAAAAAGGTCAGCCATACTGGTGGAGCTGCCCAGGCCCAGTCAAGGGCACACGTGCCTCAGCTCTCCCAGGAAACTACAAGGTTAAAAATGTATAGATTTTGCAAGTTAATCTTGTGTAAGCAAGTAATAACTGCTTAAAATGAGAATATATATCTGTGTTATAATAATATATATATATGTTTAGGTTTTGTCTTGAGTTCTTTACATAGAGCTCTGAACCCCTTAGAATTGCCTGGGAATTAGGACTGTTTTTTTGTTACTCACAACTAGCCCCTTTTATCACGTGGAAGTTTATTATAATGAAGTGACATAGGGTGGATTCTCCAGATACCCTCAGGATGGGACTCCTCTCTAGGAAAAACAAGTGATTAGAAGTTTCAACTTCCAGACCTACCCGGCAACTCCTAAGGATCGGAGGGGAGCTGGAGATTAGGTATAAAAACTGCTGAACAATGAAGTTCAAGGTTCCTTCAGATTGGTGAACACATTGAAATGGTGGAAGTGCTGGGAGGTTGGCATGTACTGAAAGGGCCTGGAAACCCCCTGATGCCCTCTATCCCCCTACCCTGACGTAGACGTCACTTCCATTTGACTGTTCCTAAATTGTATACATTACAGTAAACCAGAAAAAGTAAGAAAAGTGTTTTCCTAACTTCATGGGTCATTTCAGCAAATTATCAAAACCGAGAAGGGGTTCATGGGAAACCCTGAATTTGTAGCCAAGTGGGACAGAAGTCCTGGTAGCCTGGGGACCAGGGGTCGGAACTGGCTTCTCAAAAGAGGGCAGTTTATGGGTCTGATGCCTTAAACCTGTGGATTCTGTCACTAAGTTCAGGTAGTGTAAAAATAGGAATGAATTGTAGGGCACCATGGTGGTGTCATAAAATTAGATAATTGGTGGCTGAAAAAAGATACTTTGTCTCAGAAAGCCTCGAAAGACATGTAAGAAAAACCTAATTTTCAAAAACATTTATAGAAATCCTAATCCTGTGTTCTGTAATAGCTGAATCTTAGCATGGGAGAGGTAATAATGCATTTGGTATGTACACATTATGAGTTAGACATCCTAAGTGTTGCCGTTTACATGAAGACACCGAGACTCAAAAGGGTGAGTGTTTTTTTTAGCCACACCCCACAGCATGTGGGATCTTAGTGCCCCAACCAGGGATGGGACCCGGGCTCCCTGCAGTGGAAGATTGAAGTCTTAACCACTGGACCAGGGAAGTCCCAAGGATGTTGAGTCTTTGTCTAAGGCTATCGAGTTGTCAAGCTATAGCTCTGAAGAGTGAGGATCTGAAGTCAGAGGTCAGCCTCAGATGACTCATGTCCAGGAAAAGGAAGGGAAGAAAGAGCTCAGCCTTTACATCCTCACCATAATCACCTTTACCTCAGATCCTCCCTCTCTTCACAGGTTCCCATGGTAGCAGCAGCATTTATGGTCCCTGGACAGGTAAGTGGAAGAAGCCCCAGTACCTACCCAGACGTCATCCCTACCCCTGGTCCTGACACACAGATAGAGGAGACAGTGTTGTCCTGGGATTGTGGGCCCTTAGGTCTGGGCCCTGGCATCATCTCAGGCACAGGACCATTAATCAAAGCCAGCAGTTGTACAGAGGTGTTCCCATGTGTCCAGTGGAGAAGGTCAAGTGGTGACATGTCCTTGGGCACAGCCTGGAGATGAGACTGAGAGGGGAGTGTTCAGGGAACTGCAGGACCCATGACTTGGGCTGATAAAGACTGAAGTCATAAGTCATTCCTGGGATGACAGCCTGAGGAGCTGGGCCTCTCCTGAAGGGGCAGGTCCATGCCATGTTGGCCGCAGAGGAGGGAAGTGACCTGACGCTGGGTCTGAAGAGGCTACTCTGCCTGCCGGGAGGAGGAAGATGGTGGGGGGTGGTGAGGGTGGAGCCAGGGGCCCAGTGGAAGGCACAGTCCTGGTGAATGTCGATTGTAACTGGATCCTGGCAACGGCTCTGTAGCAGGAGAGGTGAGTTTCTCAATCTCCTTTGTGGTACAGGTGATTTTCTGCTGTACAGGATGAGAGAGAGTAGTCTGACATGACCCCAGGATGTTTGCCTCTAGGTGACGGTAGGGACGCCATGTCTGAGATGGGAAGTCAGCAGTAGGAGTAATGGAGAGAAGGACTGTCCAGAGTTCCGTGTCCCCATGCTGAGTTTGAGATATTGCCGGGGTGTCTCAAAGGAGGTGTCAACTGGACCACTGGAAACACACCTGGAGTTCAGGGGAGGTGGGGTTCAGGATTGAAGATACCCCTTAGCAGGTGGATGGCATGTGGTCCAGGTCAGATTCCAGGCCCTCAGGTCATGTGTGGGTGCCATGAAAGTTGTAGGGTGGGGAGGGGGTTCTCCGTGGACTGGCTCACCTCCCTGGGAACGGGGACAGGGGTGGCTGTCATCACTAAGATGGATGAGGCAGTGCAGTGACCATGAGTGTGTGGGGGGTGCAAGTGGCTTCAGGGGAAGTCCTGGTCGTGGCACAGGATTCGAAGGGGTGGATAAGGTATGGATTCAGAAGCAAAGCAG